GTGCTGCAGTCCCCTCCTGACAGATGGATGTCAAACGCCCAACTAGTCCATTATCAAGCTCTATTGCTCAGTCCTCCAAGAATACAACTCACAGCAACAAGCTCCCTCAACCCAGCTTCACTACTGCCAGATCCCAGCATGGACCAACCTATCCACGATTGTGAAGAAATTTTAGAGTACCTTAAGGGAGCCCGTGAGGACTTATTAGATACTCCTATGCCAAATCCAGACATTATGTGGTATACAGACGGCAGCAGCTTCATCAAAGACAGAGTACGTTATGCTGGAGCTGCAGTTACAACTGAGACTGACGGAGTGTGGGCCAGAGCCCTACCGCCAGGTACATCCGCACAAAAAGCAGAACTGATTGCACTTACTAAGGCCCTAGAATTAGGGAAAACCAAGTGTCTCAACATCTACACGGACTACTGATCTTCTTAGGGTCAGATAACGGGCCTGCTTTCATCTCTCAGGTAACCCAAAAAGTAGTATAGACTTTGGGGACAAATTGGAAATCACATTGCGCATATCATCCCCAAAGCTCTGGTCAGGTAGAAAGAATGAATTGAACACTTTAAGAGACCTTAACTAAATTAACCCTAGAGACTGGCGAAGACTGGATAACCCTCCTTCCTTTTGCTATATACGAGCTGATACTCGCCACATTTAAAGTCCTAAACAGCTCCCACCCAGAACTCACCAAAGAGTGCTGGTTGTGCCTTGAAGCAAAGCCTCCCAACTACGAGGGTATAGCTATAACTAACAACTTTAGTGCGACTTCTGAACAGAGTAAGTGTAGATGGAAAGAAGGGGTGGGAAAGAAGCTGACGCTAGAACAGATCTCAGGAAGAGGAACGTGCATTGGAAAAATTCCCCGAAATTATCTGCACTTATATAACAATACCATTCAGATATCCACAAACAGCAATGGCAGTAATACATATAATAAGCCAGGAAAAGATGCTTGGTGGATATGCAACACTGGCATAACTGCCTGTGCCCATAACACTATACTTAACCAAGACAACGGCTTCTGTGTATTAGTCCAATTATTCCCATGAAAAAAAATTACACACATGACCAAATAGATGTAAACACCAGACCAATTAGCAGACAAAAACCGCACAGTAGGAGTAGCTGCAGTCCTTCTATCCTCTCAAGTAGGGTTGAGTATTGCAGGGGCCACCGGTGTTGGAGCTTCTGCACTCAACCTACAAGATAAGAACGGTAATTGATGCTGACCTCAAAAACTTGGAAGAATCAGTCACTAAATTAGAACAGTATCTTTCCTCCCTTGCAGAAGTATTATTACAGAATCAGAGAGGTTTAGACCTTCTCTTCCTGCAGCAAGGATTGTGTGCTGCACTAGAAGAGCAATGCTGTTTCTATGTAAATCACTCAGGTATAATTAGAAACTCAATGAGCCTCCTGCAGAAAAGGCTAAAAGAGAGAGAGAAAGAAAGAGCTAAACACGCTTCTTTGTATGAAAACCTTTTTAATTGGTCCCCCTGGCTTACAATTCTAGTCTCAGCGTTAACAGGACCATTAGTCTTGCTCCTAATTGCAGTCACCTTAGGACCCTGCATTCTAAACAAACTCTTATCCTTTATAAAAGAGTGAATAGCCACAGTTCAACTCCTAGTTTTTGAAAACCAAATATGAACAGCTTAACCAAGTTGAAGAAACCAATCTGGGCCCATGATTCGGCCCAGGAGGTACTCAAGGGGGGAATGAAGGACCCAAAAGACCCCAACCAGAAAAATTCCTTTCCCTTCCCTAAAGAAATTTCTTCCCACATACCCAAACCCACCCTAACTGCCAAACTTCTGGCGCCAGTAACTGTTAACTGTCAGGACCCTCCCTAACCACCAAACTTCTGATGCCAGCAACCTTCCCCAGATAAGAGCCAATCATCAACCTTCCCCAGATAAGAGCCAATCAGCTAAAGAGTTCCATGTTATTGTGAGACGCTTCCCCTGACCACCTATAAAAAGGCCTGTGTGCCTGCTTTCTAGGTTGCCATCAATTCAGATGGTCGACCCACCACATGCTGTGTTGAGATCAATAAATGCTTCTGCTAATTGAGGAGAGTTATTCATGGGGGACTCAAATTCCGGCACAACAGAAGAAGTACAGCCAGAGTTGCACCTTGGAGGCCAGGATGGCCAAACTTCACCTCTCATACTTCAGACATAGTGTCAGGAGGGACCAGTCTCTGGAGAAGGATATCATGTTTGGTAAGGTGAAGTGTCAGAGAAAAAGAGGAAGACCCCCAGCGAGATGGAATGGCAATGTAGCAGCATCAATGGACTCAAAATGTGGGAACAATTATGAGGTTGTTACAGGACCGGGCAGTGCTTCATTTTGTGCATAGGGTCACTATGAGTTGGTACCGACTCGATGGCACCTAACAACAAGTATTACTTGCAGCTGAAAGTGGCCTAACACATCCAAAGGGGACCAACACTGAAGTAACATAAAGAAAATTCAATCTTCATAAATCTTGGTGACAACCTGTTGCTATAAGCCCTTGTAGGGGAAACTGACTGGGTTTGGGGGAAATATTGTTAGTTAGGCTTTTCCTGAGGGCAAGCAACAGAAACTCTGACTTCAACAAAAAGAAATGAAATCCAGAGTCAGATGAGTCTGCAGTGTCTTCAAGTTCTCCCTTCTCTTGGCTCTGCCATTCTTAGAATGGGCTTCATTCTCAAGCTGATACAAAGACGGGCATATTCAGACCCACAGAGCTTTATCAAGTCCTCATGATATTTCACCCCTACCCCAACACACTTATCCTGAAACTGGCCCCCAGGTCGTCTCACTCCAGCTGCACTTTCTTGTTCTTCCTCAAACATAACAGGTGGACTCCTGCCTCAGGCCCTCTGTGCTTCCTATTCCCTTCCCCTGAGTTTCTTGTGTTCTTCACCGGGTCCTGTGTAGCGCTGTAGGATAAGTACAAGCCAGTTCAAACCCACCTACCACTCCTCAGAAAGCCTACATAGGATCACTATGCATTGGAATTGACTCTGGCACTTAACAATACAGAGCTGGAGCTCTTCACATGACTTGTTCCCTTTCCTCCTTCAGTCCTTACTCAAAGATCACCTTCTCAAGGACGCCTACACTGATCACTTAAACTATGTTGTTGTTGTTGTTAAGTGCCGTCGAGTCGGTTCCGACCCATAGCGACCCTGTACAGGGTTTCCGAGGGTGTAAATCTTTACGGGAGTAGAAAGCCTCATCTTTCTCCCGCGGAGCAGCTGGTAGTTTCGAACCGCTGACCTTAAGGTTCGCAGCCCAATTCGTAACCACTACGCTACCAGAGCTCCTTAAACTATAATCACCCCCAATTAGCCTCTCCTTTTCAAATTTTCTACACAGCAGATAACATCATCCAAGGTAAAGCACACTTTCTTGCCTCAATGAGTGTTCCCCCTGCCTTCGACTGTATTGTGGCAACAATGCTTATCTGATTGTTCACACTCATTCCCCCAGGATGTTAACAGGGTAGATACTCCCTAAATATCTGCAGAAAGGACAGACTAGGGTTGAGCAGCATCCCAGGAAGGGGAAGGCAGGGAGGAAGGGAGTTTTTCCAAGATAAGACCCCTCCCCCATCACTCCAGGCTTCTCCAAGAATCTCATTTGCCAGAATTGCTGAGTGACGGGCCTGAATCAGTTACTACTTAGGAACTGTTGTTGTGCTGAGTCATAGGACCCCCTATAGTGTTTCTGAGACTTTAAATCTTCAGAGGCAGAAAGTTTCATTTTTCTCCCATGGAGCCGCTGGCAGGCTCAAAACTCGGACCTTGTGTTTCACAATCCAGTGCTTCTAGTACGGAGCCACCATGCTCCCCACTTAGAGCCTAGGTCTTCTTTTAGTCCTATCAGTAACACTGGGATCAGCAGGTATTGAGGAGGACCCCAGAAAAAAATGAGTGAAGATGGAGCGGTGGAAGCTGGAAACACCCAGCAAAACCAGTTTGTACGTTCTGATCCCAGGTGCCGCTGCACTCTCATCAGGTGCCATTTTATTCCTTCGCTGCCACGTCTGGAAAGCCTTCTCTGTACCACCTGCCTCCTCTCCCTCGGACACTATTTCTTCTGACCACACTGGAATCCGGCTCCCAACCCCAGCCTTTCCCTCTGTTCTTACACTGGGATTGTGGCACTGTAAGATAAGCACTGGACTGCAAGATCGATTTGAAGGGCCAGGTTGGCAGTTCAAATTAAACAGCTGCTCCTCAGAACCCTATATAGGGTCGTTATGAGTCGGAACAGACTCAACGGCACTTGTTTATAGGGAATCTGGGTGTGGTGCTGCAGGATAAGGCACTAGACCACATGATCAGCGGTTCAAACCCACCAACTACTCCTGTATAGGGTTCCAAAGTGAGAACTCAATGGCACATAACAACTTGTTTCTAAATCCTGCGTGGCCTCTTGCTCTGTATCTTACTCTGTCTTGCTGACTATTCCTCAGTGACTGCTTACACGACCCGGGCTCTCCCACATTAACCCCATCCATGCCCTCTGGTCCACCGCTTCCCCCACCCACACTTCCAGCCCCAAGCCTTGGAGAACTGAAGCAATATCGCTCTAACACCCGAAGGGTTGCAGAATCGCAACCACCAAGGGGGAGGGAAACCGGAGTCCCAGAGCTGGGATGGGGGCACGGCATGGGTGGCGCCGGACGGGCCGCACGGTCACCAGGGAAGTGTCCCTGACCCCGGCCTGCCCCCTCGTGGTGGGGCCAGACACCCCCGACTCTGCTCCTCTGAGGCGTCGGGGCGCCGAGTCCCGGCCTCAGGCGCGGGGGCGGCAGAGGGGCCCTGGGATACGGAAGCAAGGCGGGGGCGCGGCCGAGCGTGGACCCGGGCTCTCTCTAGACCGCCGCCCCGGGGGCGGAGGGGAGGGGCCCAGCGGCTTTATTTCCACGCGCGCCAACGCCGCTAGCTCTCAGCCAAGTCTGTCGAGCGCAGCACCCGCCGTCCGTGTCCATGCAGTCCCACCGGCAGCCGCCGCCTGCGCCCAGGCCTGGGGGCCCGCGCCCTTCCGTCCCGGTGCTCGCGCTGCTGCTGCTGTTAGTCCTCCCACGGGCGACAACGGCTCCCACAGTATCCACGAGACCAGAGAACCCCGAAGGGCCTCATGACGCCGGGCACCCGCGCGGACTCCTGCCGCAAGCGGCGCGCGCGGCGCTGCACTTCTTCAACTTCCGCACGGGCTCTCCCAGCGCGCTGCGAGTCCTGGCCGCGGTGCAAGAGGGCCGCGCACGGGTGAGTGCCCGAGGAACAGGCGGGGGCGCGCGCGGCGCAGGGCCGCCACTACGCGGTGCGGCGATACGTGCGCCCGCGTGTCTACCTGTCCAGGTGGCGGGTCCTGGGAGGGCGAGCGTGAAGGGCAGGATATCCGCGGAGTGCGGGGTCGGCGTCTTAGCGCCCTGGAATGCCCAGGGAACGGAAGGAACCTTCAGGTCTGCTAGAGCTAGGGCCGCGCTCTTGACAGCCCCCAAACCTGGAAGACAGGTGTATGAGGAAACAGAGAGCGGGCCCAAACGACCAAACTTTTATCTTGCTTGGCAGTTGCTCGAGTTGGGAGTTGGTTGCTGTTCAGCGCACCAGTAGCTCCAGCAGAAGTCTAGAACAAGACTTCCAAAAACGGGTAGTGTCTATGTTAGAAAGGACTGCCACCTACCCGCAAGGTCGGCGGTTCAAACCCACTATCAGTTCCTTGGAAACCCTCAACAGGGTCGCTATGAGTCGGGACCGACTCAAGGACGCTTAACAGCAACGCAAGAGCTTCAGGGTAATGTGACAGGAATTTTAGTAATCCTGGCGCCTGCTTTAATCTATAGGAGTGAGTGAATGGGGCGCCATTTTCTTTAAGGAGTGAATGGGAAATTTATAGTATGGTTATTTCTTGCAAAGAATTGGCTGGAGGTAAAGCTTTTGTATTTGTGGCGCTACGTTTCTTTCTTCACCAAATACAGGATTAATATTCCACAACTTCCACAGTTTTTACAGTAGAATCATAGCCTCCAAGAATCTGCGGGTTGTTGTGCTGAATGCAAAGTCGGCTTGAACCACCAAGATGGCAGTTCAAGCTCATCAGCTGCTCCTTGAACCGCCTTGATTGCACTTAATGACAATAGGCTGAGGTTTAAAGTGTGACCTTTTGTGATAGGCCTGGTGGCAGACTGGAGAAACTTGGAAGTTCAGCCTTGGTTCTTCGAAGACATAATCCTGCGACTAGAGTTGCTAAATGCATTGAATTATGAAATTAAAATGTTTCTAGAAAAAAGGCAGTTTATTCTTATAACCTGTTTTTGTTTTGTTTTTAAACCTATTACTGTGAACTCTGAGTGGTTTACAGAGCTGGTCATCAATTTTACATTCAGCAAATCATTCTTTAATTACAATGATTGAAATCCCCTCCATGTACCTTTAGTTAACAGTTAGTGCTGTCGAATCGGTTCCGACCCATAGAGACCCTGTATAGGGTTTCCGAGCAGCAGCTACTGAGTTTGAACCGGCAAACTTTCAGTCCAGTGCTTAGCCTGTAGCGTCACGTTTACCCTCTTTATGTTATGTGTCGTGTTGTGGGTTCCGACTCATAGCGAGGCTGTAAATCTTTACAGTGTAAAAAGCCTCATTTTTTTCCCCGTGGAGCAGCTGATAGTTTCAAAATGTTGACTCTGAGGTTAGCATCCTGATTCATAACCGCTACTCTACCAGAGCTCCTTCCACGGGTGAATAATTCCCTCCTACACCCCCCACCCCCCCACTCTCCCCAATCCCTGTAACCATCATTGAACGTTTCATTTAGCAAGAAAATATTTCAACTTTTTACAACAGTGAGCTCGTGCAGTATTTTATCTTCTTTAGTATTATCACCTGTTTTCACAAAGGATTCCGTTTTTACTAGCCCAGCAGAGAAATAAATTGGATAGGACTGAGAACTTTCTATCAAGGTGAAGGAGTAGCTACCTTCCAGAGCCCCAAAGAGATGCACCTGAAGGTTTTATTTTCCTCTCTTTTTTAAAATTTTGGTTTAGAAATAGGTCCAGGCTAGGTCTAGAATTTGGTGTAATAGGATTATAGTTAGGACTAGGGTTTGTGTTAGGGTTCATATTAAGGCTAGGGTTAAGAATAGGGCTTAGTCTAGTTATAGGATTATAGTTAGGTTTATTTTTTTCCTTGAAATCAACTTGGTTTCCTCTTCCTTTAGAAGTTATGCACCATTCCCTCTTTGTAGTTTGTGGGTTTTGTTGTGGTGGTACACTGATAACTCTTGTCCCTGTTTTCAGTCTTGTAGACCCCCACCCCCGCCCCAATAAATACTTTGAATATTTCTATATCTGGCTTGAAATCTGGCTGATGCTGCTATATATGTTAATCTCTCAGGTTGTTGTCTGCTATGGTTGGTTCATTTCCCAAAGAACCCCTTTTAGTATTTTTTGTAAGGTTGGCTTTACAAATTCTTCTAATTGCTGTTTATCTGAAAGTGTCCTAATTTCACCATCATACTTGAGGGGCAAATTTGCTGGATGTGTGATTCTTGGTTGGCAATTTTTTTTTTTCCTTCAGAGTTTTTTTTATATATACTATCTTGCCTGTATGGTTTGTACTGAGAAATCAGAGCTTAGTTTTATGAATGGTCCTTTGTAACTTTTTATTTTTCCTGATTATAGTATGTCTTTGTGATTTTCTTTTGGGGTCTGTCATGTTTGGAGTTTGTTCAGCTTCTTGAATGCGAATCTTCTCATCTTTTACCATGTTAGGGGAGTTTTCTTCCAACAACTCTTTCTGCAGTTTTCTCTGTTGGTTTTTAATTTATTTATTTGGTCTCTTCCTGTTCTGGAATTCCAGTCTCATGAAAATTATCCCTCCTGATGGTGCCCCCTTATAATTCTGAGGCTTTCTTTCTTTTTCTGTCTGCTCCTCTAGCTGTTGAATATTGAGTTATGTCTTATCGCTCACCAATTTGAACTTCCATTGATTCAATTCTACTTCTCTGTCCATTCATTGTATTATCTATTTCTGAAATCTTATTAACCTTTTGGATTTCTGTTGGCTGTTTTTGCATGGTTTCTGATTTTTCATTTATTTTGTCAGTTCTTGTAATGTTTTCATGAATGCTTCTAAAGTTTTTTTTCTGTGCTTTTCTTGCATTTTTATTTGCACCTTTTCTGAGTTTTCTCATTCTGTTGAGATTTCATTCTTTTGAATTCCTTATCAGGTAATTCAGATACTTTTCTGGTGTTACGTTTTCTGACTGCATTTTGGTCACTCATTTGAAACAGCTGAATGAAATGGTCTGTTGTCTCTGAGATATTATGATGCCTCATTGTATTTATATTTAACTGATGAGTGTATGCTGGTGAGTTGTTATGCACGCACAAGCTGCATCCAGGTGGATATGATAAAGACTATAAGTGAATACACAGTTCTCTGTTTGCTGCTTTTGGGTGGATTTAGTCCCTGGTTATCAGTAGGGGAGGATTCCCTAAAGAAAACCAAACTCAGATAGCTAATGTACTGCAGTTTTCAGATTCCAAGGTTTTTCCTTCCTTCCAAGACAAAAAACAAAAAAAAGAATGAGATATGCATTCATTTAGTCACCCATTAAGAAGATAAACGAAATAGTTGGCATCTTTCACAGACTAATCAAACTAACCCTCAAAATCTGAGAGTTAAGTCCAAAATCATCTCTCACAGAGTTCAGCTACTGTTTTCTGTCTGTAATGTTATGTCTTGTTACTTTCAAGGAATGACTTTCCTTTTAGCCAAAAAAAAGAGAGATGAATTAAGTAGAGGCAGAAATACATGCAAGGAAGAAGCAATAGAAAAATCAAGGACATTGATCCTTAGAAAGTTTACCCTGTTGTTTTCTGGTTTACCTTTTGTTTTCCTTCTAAAGATGATTATAATGTTTTAAACTCTGAGTTCAAAGGAAGAGAGGTCAATGACTTTTTCAGGGTCAGGAGTCTAGAGATCAAAGTGGTTTCAGTTTCTTCCAGGAATTCAGAGAAATTGTTTTCTTCCAGTTCCTCTCATAGGATGACCAAGGCAGCCTGGTGTCTTAGTTTACAGCAGTGACCTGCCAGGGTTCTTGGGACTGGCAGAAGCAAGGGGATTTGGGTAATGGCTGGGGTGATCCCTTGATTTCTATTGGGTGATGCAAGTGGTTAACGCTTGGAGATTGAATCCACCCAGAAAAGCCTATTGATCAACTTCTAAAAATTCAGCCATTGAAAATCCTGTGAAACACAGTTCTACTCTATTACACATGGGATCACCGTAAGTCAGAATTCCCTTTACAGCAACTGATTTGTGTGTGTATATGTTTCCTGAATATGAGGGACCAGCCCATGAAGCATTGTGGTGGTGGTAGTGTGCCGTGGAGTTGGTTCTGACTCATAGTGACCCTGTACAGGGTTTCTGAGGCTGTAAATCTTTACAGGAGCAGAAAGCCTCATCTTTCTCCCGAGGAACAGCTGGTAGTTTCGAACTTGAGGTTCGCAGCCAGATTCTAACCATTGTACTACCAGAGCTCCTTAAAGAAGGTCACATACCATCCTCTATTTCCCCATTTAGACAGGGAATAACTCATGTTCTGCCAGCCATGTTGGATTATTTTGTTGTTATGTTGTTGTTAGGTACCCTGGAGTTGGTACCAACCCATAGCAACCTTACGCACAGCAGAACAAAACACTGCCCGATCCTGGGCCAACCTCACTACTGTTGCCACGCTTGAGTCCATCAGTGCTGCCACTTGGCCAATCCATCTCATTGGGGGTCTGCCTCTTTGTCTCCGACACTTCACCTTACCAAACATGATACCCTTCTCTAGTGACTGGTCCTTCCTGACAATATGTACGAAGTATGAGAGATGAAGTTTGACCATCTTGGCCTGTAAGGAGCACTCTGGCTGCACTTCTTCAAAACGGATCTATTGGTTTTTTTAGCAGCCCATGGCACTTTCAATATTCTCCTCCAACACCATAACTTAAAACCCTCAATTCTTCTACGGTCTTCCTTATTCACTGTCCAGCTTTCCCATGCATATGAGGTTATTGAAAATACCATGGCTTGGGTCAGGCGCTCCTTAGTCCTCAAGCTGACATCTTTGCTCTTCAACACTTTAAAAAGGTCTTGTGCAGCAGATTTGCCTAATGCAGTACATCCTTTCATTTCTTGACTGCTGCTTCTTTGAGTGTTGATAGTTGATCCAAAAAGAATGAAGTCCTTGACAACTTCGATCTTTTCTCCACTGA